AGGTCAGTAAACGATCCTGTCAACATGGCTCTTCACTGCCTCCTCCTCCACCTGGACACAGAAGGAACCTACGCCAGGTTCCTGTTTGTGGACTTCAGCTCTGCGTTCAACACCATCATCCCGGCTCTGCTGCAGGATCTCCCAGCTGCATGTGCTTGACTCCACCTGCTGGTGGATCACAGACTTCCTGTCCGACAGGAAGCAGCACGTGAGGCTGGGGAAACACGTCTCTGACCCCCAGACCATCAGCACTGGTTCCCCTCAAGGCTGCATTCTTTCCCCTCTGCTCTTCTCCCTGTACACCAACAGCTCCACCTCCACCTCCTGAACTTCCTGACGGGCAGACCCCAGGCAGTGCGGGTGGGAAATATCACATCCTCCACCCTGATTCTCAACACCGGTGCCCCTCAAGGCTGCGTGCTCAGCCCTCTCCTCTACTCCCTGTTCACCCACGACTGCGTGGCCACACACAGCTCCAACACCATCGTGAAGTTTGCTGATGACACGACCGTCATCGGCCAGATCACAGACGATGACGAGACGGCGTACAGAGAGGAGGTCGAAAACCTGACATCTTGGTGCCAGGAGAACAACCTCCATCTCAACATCAGTAAAACAAAGGAGCTGATTGTGGACTACAGGAAGCAGCAGGGAGAGGGACACGCCCCCATCGCCATCAATGGGACTACGGTGGAGAGAGTCAAAAGCTTCAGGTTCCTTGGGGTCCACATCACTGAGGACCTGACATGGTCTCTTCACACCACCACCATCACCAAGAAAGCTCGACAGCGGCTCTTCTTCCTCCGCAGGCTGAGGAGGTTCAAAATGGATCCCAGGATACTCTGCAACTTCTACAGGTGCACGATAGAGAGTATCCTCACTGGCAGCATGACGGCCTGGTACGGCAGCTGCACCGACCTCGATCGTAAGGCTTTACAGAGGGTGGTGAAAACTGCATAGCACATCACCAGGACGGAGCTGCCATCCATGGAGGACCTTTACTCCCAGCGGCTCAGGAAGAAATCACTACGGATTATCAAAGACCCCCATCACCCCAGCCACAAACTGTTCTTTCTGTTGCCGTCTGGCAGACGTTACCGCAGCATCCTGGCAAGGACAAGAAGATTCGGAGACAGTTTCTTCCCGCGGGCAGTGAGACTGTTAAAAAATTGAACTGTTGAAACAACATCAAACATTCATCTGCTACTCAGTAGTATGTATCTAATATCTAATATATATATATCATTCCAATAACTTGTATATAGACTCATACTGCACTATTCCACATCATAACTTTATTTCATTTTTATAACTATTATTATTTTTGTATTGCTCATGCTCTTATTGTTATTATGTTATGTTATTATGTTGCATTGTTGGAGAAGCCTGTGACATAAGATTTTCAACTGCATAATTACTCTGTAGCTATGTCAGATTGACAATAAAGAACCTTGAACCTTGAACCTTCCAGTCACCAGTCTGTCAAGCTACTGAAGTTCGCAGACGACACCACCCTCATCGGACTCATCTCTGGCGGGGACAAGTCTGCCTTCAGGTGGACCGAACATCTTGTGACCTGGTGCTCAACGCTCTCAAGACAGTGGAGATGGTTGTGGACTTTAGGAAGAACGCAGCCCCACCCGCCCCCATCACTCTGTGTGACTCCCCAGTAACTGCTGTGGAGTCTTTCTGCTTCCTGGGCACCATCATCGCCCAGGACCTCAAATGGGAGCAGAACATCAGCTGGTTACCAAAGATGATGATGGTGAACTTCTACACCTCCATCATCGAGTCCATCCTCACCTCCTCCATCACCATCTGGTATGCTGTAGCCACAGCCAAGGACAAAGGCTGCAGCGTGTCATCCGCTCTGCAGAGAGGGTGATCGGCTGCAATCTGCCATCCCTCCACGACCTGCACGCCTCCAGAACCCTGAGGCAGGCAGGGAAGATAGTGGCCGACCCCTCCCACCCTGGACACAAACTGTTCACCCCCCTCCCCTCTGGCTGCGCTCCATCAGGACCAAAACCTCTCGCAACCTGAACAGTCTCTTCCCCTCTGCTACCGGCCTCATTAACAAGGCCCGGCCCCCCCACTGACACTGACTTTTATCCACCCGATTTAATGCACACTTGTCATTCATAAAATGTGTAAATCGTGCACATGTTGCACATTTCTTCTCCACACTAACTATTTTAAATCAGCACAGCTATCGGCTTTAAATACGGTATATAGTATTTGTCGTATGTAAATATTGTTAATTTGCTATAATAGTCTTAAAAAGTTTTTTTAAATAGCTGTCAGTCTATTTTAATTTAATTTTGCTACGTATTCTTCTTTCCGTGTCTTGTATGCACCATGTATACCAAAGCAAATTTCTCGTATGTTTAAACCTACTTTCGGATTCTGATCAATGAAAGCACCAATTATTTTTACATTGATAAATGTCCTGCTCACTACATATCTTGATCCTTTTTTAAGAACTATAGCTGCATGATATATTGTTTTGGCATCAATATTGGGATGTGGGCATGGGTATAGTAACATTGCAGGACAAACAAAGTCAGAAATTAAATTACACAAATGCTACAACTTTTCTTTCTGGTTGATACTAAAAGAAAAACTTGCACAGTTCTCATTTTCCATGACTAATCTTAAAGAGGAGTCTGTCTGATGTAACATAATTTACTCTAATTTAACGGTTTGTGGATACACAGAGTTTCTGCCATTGAGCGACATGCAGGCTCTGCATGTTAACCAAAGCCACCAATCACAATCATTTTGATCAACAAACATAAAAGCAGCAGGCGCCGCTAGTCGTCCACCACAACCTAAAAATTAACCAGAGAAAACAGAGAAGAAGAAGAAGAAAAAGAAGAAGTATTAATCCCCCGAGGGGAAAATTCAGTTTTGAAGAAAGATTGGGATGCAAAAAGAAACACAACGCAAGTAGTATAGAAATATAACGGCTACAAAAAGGATAATGTTAAGTGTTCATTTAAAACATTTGTCAACCAATTATAGCAATTGTTTGTTTTTTAACTGAAATACTGTATCTTTCAAAATATATTACACTATATTCCACACAATACTTCTCACAGGGTTATCTGTTTGGCAGTTTGGTATCAACAAAATAAAAAACAACAGTTGAGAGAGATTGAGGACAAACAGGATATGAAATAGATCAGAGTGACAGATTATTTTACGAATGGCTTCCAGTTCAGTACAGGATACGACCTGTCCTTTATATACATTGTGAATTCTGTCTTCAAACTGAACATTTTAGAGATAAAATAAAAACAAGCCAGTTAAAAACGGATTTGATGATTAAAAGGGTGAAACAGAGATTATTTGCTGATTTATAATTTGTAATCCACTTGCTTTAACACAATGAATCATTTCCCCCTCTAGCGTAAAAAGCACCTGGTAGAAAATTAATGATTAATATTATTGCTGAGTAAACCTCCACAGACCAGACTGAGCCCAGATATTTTCATCAGTCACAGCTGGATGAGAACAGGTGTGACTAATGTTAATCATGGCTGTGCTCCAAATACAGGTGGGCGGGCCAGTGAGCCCAGTAAATGTGTGCCGTGAGAGAGGCTTATTGTTTGTGAGTAAAGAGCAGACTGAGAACAAGTACAAGTGTAACTGAGGGAGTTCAGCTGGACCACAGCCGTTTGCAGTTTCACATTTTCTACTTTAATAAACACTTCAACTAAAACAGGCAGCTTCATCCGGACAGGAATGATATCCAAAATTAAATATGGAGAGCTGGACTGAGCCAAACTGACAGCGTAAATAATTAACAACTCACTGGCCGCCAGGTTTCAGTCCAGAAACACCGGTCATAACGAACCAATTACGTTATCTATTTAAGTCAACTCGAAACAGATACCTAAATCACATTTGATTAACTTCAGTTTAGCAGACTTTATGCTCCACATGGCAAGGGATTTGCTCCCATTCAGCCACAAGAGCATTAGTGATGTCTAACACTGATACTGGCTAGGGCTGCACAATTTTGAAAAGAATAAACTGATTGCGATTATTTTGACTGTAATTGCACTTTTGACATGATTTGCGTTTTTAGAAGAATAATGATTAGTCACATTATTATTGAAATATATTATAAAATGATCATGTTGGGATTTCGTAAGAGCATATGTACCAAACATGGATTTTGGTTGTATATAATGTTTGACTTCTCTGCAGCACCACAATACTTTATTGATATATTGTCACTTTTTTTGCCTTAACCGAATATTGGGCATACTGCGATTTGGATATTGCATTAGTCTTTATAAAAACGCATTTATTCATGAGCCTGGGCATGTCATGATGTCTAAAATACAACTGAAAGCTTTAGAATCAAAGCTGGTGTGACAAACCTTTGTATCCCCTCCTCTGGCAGTGACAAACGCTGTTGAGGTGAGCATGTCTGTAGGTGGGATTCACGTTCACCCGCACGCAAAAATGTTTGTCCTTCTTGTTGCTTTCTTTTCTCCACTTGAGTGCTTTCTTTGAATGCCAAGTTTTTTTTTTTTTTTTTATCTGTGGAATCCACTTTTGTAACTTTTCTTGGTCAATTCTTAGGATTTCTTGTCTCCTAGCTGCTGCTCCATTACTAGTTGTCCCCTCTCTTCCAGGCCCCTTTGGCTTTATTGACTTAAAAAGCATCACCAGGGCATCAGCACAGGAAAGTTACACAATTCCCCTGGCGGCTCTTATCTTAAAAAGCATTTGGTGATCTTCATTGGAAAGGGCTTTCATGTGAAAGACATTTATTATTACACATGATGTTTTATCACATGCAAAGTCAGAAATTGTACATAAATGTGAGCATACCTTTAGTGATGCTTTTCACACAATTCCTTTGATTAATTCATACTGATTATTAGAAGTATTAACTAATTAATCACCAAGAGGTTGATCCCTCTGGTTATTCCAGATCATTGGAGATGATGAGGCAGAACTTGTACAGTGTTGTTAGTTCTTACCCAGAGAGGAAACTGCTAAATGTCTGCAGTTCGCTGGCATCGATCACCACATTCAGATCACTGATGGTCTTCTTCAATTGCTCACCCTTCTGCAGGAGAAAACACACCGTCAACTACTTCGTCGTTTTCTGTAAACCAGTCTGTTTGAGTGAGCTGGTACAGACAAAACAATTCCATAATCCATAGCGGATGATAGTTAAACTTCAATAAAAGCTGTACATCATAAGATTCATTATTTTAATACATTAAATACAAGCCACACTAGAAGATATATAAGAAATGTACAATATTGTATGCATTTTCTCTGTATGCTTAATTTTACAGTGGTTTTGGTTGTGAACTGTTGAAGTGGAATGCAGCTTTGTGTAGCACTTCTGCCCAAGAAAAATAACCCTGGGGCAAAATAAAGTAGATCTCATCTCATCTTCTTCTTACAAAGGCAGGCTTTACTCTAGGACTGTAGTATTTGTCTGCACTATTTTAAGCGTGGTGTACCTTATAAACTGCCCTAAACCAGAATGTGTGTTTTTTACATTTTCTCTTGTTTGTACCAATTAAACAAACAAGATACAATATTTGTATTAGTGATCTTTAGTGTCAGTTAGTACTGTATGTTTCTGAACTTTGGACAAAGAGCCAGCTTTTATTCTTAGTCTAATGCTAAGCTATGCTTAGCTAGGCTAACCGCATCCAGCTCTTTACTGAGACAGAGGGTGTTTCTCAATCGCGAGTACGCTTGCTTGGTAGCACATGTCTGCCGAGCATCTTGCTTCAGAAGCGAGTCAAGAATACTTCCTGCCATTCGGAAAACAAAGAGTGGAACAGGCTAGCAAGTGTGCAGGTGTGCGTCATATGAGAGGCCCCGCCTTACATCTTCCGCCACAGATTTGGGGAAATTGGTCCGTGCGCAAAGCATTGTGGGGATTTTAAGGCCGCGAAGTCTACTCATGTGCACACTCGATATTTCTCCAAACGGAGTACGCCGGGCTCGGTAGATTTCCAAGTATACTGGAGATTGGAACAGTACTTCGGCGGCACTCGATGACGTAGTATGCTTGAAATAGTGGCTCGGAAGCAGCTTTACTCGCGATTGAGAAACACCCAGAGACAGAAAAGGTTGAAATTTTCCTTTAAACATCCTTCTCCATTTTTTTGGAGCCATAAACGATATCAGTACAACATCTGTACAACACTAACATAACATTTTAATGTTACTGGAAGTTGAACTTGCTCACATCATGTTCAATAAAACAAAATGTATTAATGAAACTATAAAGAGGAAGAAAAAAAAAGAAAGTGTATGTTTATAAAATGACTGTTTCAAAAATGACAAAGCCAAATAAGGAATGTCTTTATCAAAACAAGATAAGACATAAGTAGATATACTATAATGTTTAATGATAGCCAGGGAGGAGGAGAGATTCAGAGAAACCAGCTGTTCTGGTGGCCCATCCAGGCAGAATAACAACCAGAAGACTGCTGGACCAACATAAAGCAGGTTTACAGATTTCCCTACAATAAAACAAAATTACTCCTGACTTTACATAACAGGATATTGGCTGCTTTTGAAGGTCACCCATCTTTTTTTAAATATGTGATGATCCAAAATGTGCTTCTGACTGGCCCAATGGGGAAATCTATCCTTTTTTTGGTTAAAGGTCCCATGTCATGGCCATTTCTACTGATCATAATTCCATTGTTGAGGTCTACTAGAATAGATTTATATTGTGCAATGTTCCAAACTCACATTGGTTTCTCATACAGCATCTCTGTATAGTATGTGGATTCACTCTCTGTCCTAAACGGCTTGTTGGAGCTCCTGCCCCCCCCCTCCCTATGAGCCCACTGTGCTCCGATTGGTCAGCCCACTATGTTCTGATGAGTCCACCACCGTTACAGCGGAACATCAGTGATTATGTGTTACAATGGCGTTTGTTAGCAACCAGAAAATGACACCAGTAATGACAAACAGATGAGAATGCTGCGTGGGGTCTGGGTGCCGTGTTGGCGGGACGTTGCGCGGCTCGCTGCTGCGAGGAGTGGACTGTGTGAGCTGGGTTCATTTCCTGCTTGCTGCGTGGGGTCTGCGAGACAGCGAGACATCGCGAATGGACGCGGGAAAGAGGGGGTGCTGAGGGGGTGCTGAGGGGGCTGCAGCATAGACAGGTCTTTTCTGTGTTAGAGTTGTACTCGCTACAGGGTGTACTTTGAGGGTTTTTGACTCTGCACACCGTTTGCATGCATAAAAACCTTCATAACACACAAGGGGACGGGTAACAACCGGAAAAGCATGACATGGGACCTTTAAAAATGTTAAGTACTTTGAGTTCACATTAAATGTCTTTTGAGATTTATAATCTTACAAAAAATGCGTACTTTGGTGAGACACTGATTTAGAAATCACAATTTCGCTAGTTGTTGTGACTGTAAAATATTATGTATAGCTGCTTGTGTTTAGACAACATTTAACGAAAGAAGGGTTCTGCAGAAAAACATGTTTATATTTCTCAAAGTAAGGTATAAATAAAAGGATTGTTTTTGCATTGTTACTGTAACTCGGGCATCATATTTCAAAGGATACCCAGCTCTAACTGGAGGAAATGGTACAACATATTTCTGGTGCACGAAACAATAAAAAAAAAAATGGCAGTTCTCTAATATTAACTTAGTCGGAGTGACAATAAAATGACAAACACCAGCTCCCAAATCGGAGGGTCGATTGTCAGTCCCTGGTCCCTACAGTCTAAATGTCTGAGTGTCTTTCGGCAAGATACTGAACCCCACATTTTCCCTGTAGTCATTGTGTGTGATTTCTTTAGAAGTCTTTTTGAGTTTGGATACAATTGCAGCTAAATGTAATCAGTGTTTGGAAGAGATGACCAGTTGTTATAGAGTGGCGAAGTCCCTCCCCTTCCGGTGGACCTCCATGGGACCTTATTTCGGAAAAATTATGTATTGAAGTCAATGGAGAGAGAAAGATTATCTTTCGATCCCGTTTGAATTGTGCCACGAATTACACATATGATGTTTGTCAATTTAAAAGATAATTTTGCAAGTCAAAAAAAAAAAAATGTGTCGTAAAACTGTGAAGTAACACATTTGTTTGTGTGAAACGCTCAATGAACTACATCTCTGGTCAACCACACACGTCACCAAGATGGCCGTCACTACTGTCTTGTCAACAAAACGATTGACTACCCTCACTATCACCACAATGAAACACGTCCTGAAGAATGTCATGCAAAGCTGCCTGCCTGCCTTCCTTTGATTCTCTCTGAACTGCCTGGTCGTTTTAATGTTTAATGTCAACCATTTGTGCAGATAGCATGAAGTAGAGAAGATCGCTAGCGTTAGCGTTAGCATTTCTCCCCCGGGCTTAAATTGTGTATTATAGAATGACCACACCGGTGACAGTACTCTTCAAAGGGTTCACGAAATATGACTACTACTCTTACTGTTTAACATGTTGGGTTACTTCATGTTACTTCATGTTAAGGCTAATAAAAATGACATGGCTGTAATGCTAACTAACGTGCTAGCTACTAGATAGGTAGCTAACTTGATCAAGCCACTCCTGGTCCTTTCATCAGACGGGAAGCAAAAGAACGAGCAAGACCCATTGCTGGTATGATAACAACCTGGTACTAAGCACACAGGCATCTTGTTAAAGTTATCTTATCTTAGCCAGCGCCATATAGATAGATTATATCTATATGGCGTTATCTTATCTTAGCTATCTCTATTTTAGTGGAGGAAAACAATTGTGACATCACTTACGCGACTCTGGGATTTGTAGTCTTTCTAGTTGCGTATTTTTCATAGTCTTATATTTCAACAGTTTTACGACAAACTGTGACTTTTTTGACATGGAAATGATTTTTTAAGATTGACAAACATCATATGTGTAATTCATGGCACAATTCAAACGGGATCGAAAGATAAGTTTTCTCTCTCCATTGACTTCAATACATTATTTTTCCGAAATAAGGTCCCATGGGGCGGAAGTAGATGGGCGTGACTTCGCCACTCTATTGTTGCCAGCAGCAGGATAAACCCAAATACTACTTGCCACAATTTCTTCTTCCAAGACAGATTGAATGACATTAAAGATGCAATTTCTTGTGCATTTTATCCCTGATCATTGTAAGTAGCTCTCTGTCGCCCTCTGATGGGTGGTTAATGACAGTGTGTTACTTGAACCCTTCACAAAACAGCTGGTCTTTTAGTATTTGTTGTGTGCAAATCTACAGATTTCTAGACCTACCACTCAGAAACAAATTATGCTTGATTCAAAATGAAGTGTCAATGAAAATAAAAGGCACCATCAATTAAAAGATCAATAGGCACTAAAGTGTATGTGCAAATAATACAAGTGTGTGAATGCATTAATGTCTTATTATTCACACAGGTCTAAACAAAAGTCTCTGAAATACTGATATCCGTGATAACCGGATAATATTTGGCACTAATAATAAGTATACTAGCCTAGTTACTGGAACAAAGATAAAGTTAGGATACACATAAATAAAAGAAATGGCTGAGGGAATTCTTTATCAGTCTTTTAACACTGAAAACAAAAGACAAGAATAGAGAGATATGGATTAAAACCACAAATACTAAGATGCAGTTTTTGTCTCCTTAACAGAAACTTTATGATTGAAAACATTCAGAAAAAATTAAAGATCCAATCAAATCAACTCCATTTGTCCGATGCCTTGGTGAGGGGGTAATGATGGCCACATCGTACCAGAGATTCTCTGTTTCTGCAAAAGATGACATGTCTCACCTTGACTGCAGAGAGCAGGAACTCCACCTGGAACACCAGATCAGAGCAGACACCCGATACACAGAGCTGCTGGATCAGCTTCTGCTCACCTATTAGATACAAACACACCAGTGTGAGTACATTATTACATAAGAGACCCATTTAAAAAAATTGCTCCGGGAGTTTTCTTGTAAATAAAACAAAACTTAAGTATACATCCTGTGTTTCTCATCAAAACATATTGTGCATGTCCTTAAGCTGTAACAAAAGTGGTGAATGCATTTTATTCTTCGAAATATTTCCCAAAGCATATGTTTTAAATATTTAAAATCTTGTATTGGTTAAACTCATGTTGACATTATAACATTCTACAGCTTTCCTCCCTTTATTTGTTTGCTATTTCTCTTGCCGTGTTATAGCTGCCATATGGGGATCAGTGTAATAGTGTAAACCAACAGGATGTGATTCACCATTGGTCAATAGAAAATTATTTTCAAAACATTGCTCGATAGCACTACTGGGGGTCAAATACTACACGGGGTACCTTTACATTTTCAAAATGTGTGGCCAGGATAATTATAATTATAAGACTTGGAACAAGGTACTAACCTCTAATAACACTTACTGTAAGGTAAAAAAAAAGTTGAAATAATTTACTGCACATATAGAACGTAATGTTCACATCATTTTTCTGATTCACTGATTAAAAGTGGGGTATGTAATTTATTTCAGAAACACTTTTTGTTATATTCCATGGAATGCTCTTAACATCCCGATAGCAATGAATATCTTAAATGCTTTGACAATAAATACATAAAAAAAATGTCATCTGTGGAAGCCGTAGCGCTGTAAAAAGCACAACCAATCATTTTAGCCGGCCCGGCTAAAATAACTGGATGGCCTACCTGCCTGTCAGCCTTCCATCTCGTGCACAAACTTATCTCGTGCCCTCATTGGTCATGTGCGCGTTCGTGTGTGTTGGAGGAGGGGCTCTGTAAGGAAGTGGCAGATTTTTTCCGGTTGTGTATTTTCAAATTCTAGCGCACTCGAGCTGGTTTCTCCAAAATTACATACCCCACCTTTAATCACTAAATCTATAAAAGGCTATTGTGTGGACAGCGTGGTGCTCATACTTTTTTTCAGAGTCTTTGTGGTGCAGCTTTTTAGACTGATGCCATTCATCCGTGTCTGCAGCTTCAGATCCTCCTCCATCTCCTCCACCTCCTCCTTCAGCCTGGACAGCACCTTCTCTTTCTCTGCTCCATGTTTCTGTCCACAGATATACGACCTGTTGGGACAGGTGACAGGCCATTCATTTACTGTCATGATGGTTGAGCACTTATTGAACATGTTCTACTTAATTTGATACTTCTGCAGCACCTAGGTATACTTGTATGTGGACAAATATTACAGTTTGAAAAGACTGTGAGAGAGATTTCAACTTTTAAAATAAAATGAAACTCACATTGCATCCTGCATATGTCCTCTGAAGTTGAACAATATGTCCTTGTGGTTGTCCTGCTGTTGCTGCTGCAAGTCTTCAACTTCAGCCTGGAGCTGCTCGATCTGGGTTTCCAGCACCTCCTCAATGTTCTCCTCGCTCATCTTCTCCATCATCCTGAAGGACAAACACAGACTGAATAAATACAAATCGTTTAGAACTTTCACTGGCTGAAGTTAGACCAATACATACAATACAATCGAAATGGCAAATAAGACCACTGTCACTAAATGACATTAGTATTGTAAAAAAATTCTGTGCTGACAAAATACAGAAAAAAGATTACATGAAGATAAAACACTTAAGAGTGAAAAGGATATCGTAAAAAATAGATCAATCTGCATTAAAATGTAAATCGTACAAGGTTATTTTACTTGCTTAAAAAAAGGGATATATCAAAGGGTTAAATACTCTAACAAATACAATACCTGTGTTTTTACTTCAGTTAAAGTTAAAAAGTATTAGCATAATGTATCTTGACTAACCATTATGCAAAATGGCTAATTTCAGAATAAACATAGCAGTACCTGGAAATACTTAAAGGGGACCTATCATGCAAAATGCACTTTTGTACGTCTTTTATACATGAATATGTGTCCCCGGTGTTCCAGGGAACTCACCAAGTGTCAGAAAACACAACCCTCTCTATTTTCCTCCATACCCAAATCTCTAAAAAAGGGGCTGCAACGGATCTGATAAAAACTGATCCAGATTTGAACACTTTACTGACGTCAGGAAAGTGGCGCTACGACTATTGGGCCAACTCCACCAATCAGGATGAGACAGCCACGGCCATTGCCGTTCGAAAGTGCTGGAGACGCTGTAGTACATATGCCAGGCCTATAAGTGGCGCTGTAGTCTGCCACAAAAGCAGCGAAGAAGACTTGGTTACCATGGTTACCCTTCTGTTTATTCTCCGCTGTGGCTTTCTTTCTCCCTCCCCGAGGCAAGCGTTTGCTCCCGCTGCTTTAATTCAATGCAATCCCTCCCCGTCGAGGCAAGCAATGTAATTCTCTCCGGTTAGTCCACCAGCAGATGACAAACACCCACCTCTCCGCCTCTTCCAAGGAACGAGGGGACCGTGCGGCAGAGTTTCAGTTTCAGTTACTTTCGCCGGTCAAGATGTCCGTTAAAGTTTAAATCTTCCGGACAAAATTAGAAAAGTGCCGGTCAAAGGTCTTCTTTGTTATTTATTGAGCTTTAAAACAAATGAATAACGACTCTATATAATAAAACACGGAGGACGGAGATCTCTTTTTCTCCCCCTCTTCTAACAGCCCAGCAGCTGATCAGAGCACGTCTCCCCTCTCCTGCAGGGGGGCGTGGTCAGCAGAATCAGACCCGTAGACAGCAAACAACACATAGCGAAATGAGGCATGGCTAAAATGCATGATCTGTTTGGTATTTCGAAAACAGAAACGTATAAATATACCTTATATAGGTATGGCCCTACAATATATCATTTAAATATAGCATGATAGGTTTCCTTTAAGTTAGGTACAAGTGACGTTACAGCAAAGTAAAACTTGTTTTAATGTAATGTCATTAACGTTACATTACACCACTTGTCTATACCTAGTTGAACTTAGAATTAAACAGGCGGTTTTTCCCACATTAGTTATAAATGCATTTCTCCTCCTCTCAAAAGTTTGCTGAACATATTTAATTTATAAACTAAATTCGCTGTGAAGGGGTTAACGTTTATTTTGTATATTCACTACAGTAGCAGAGCATTCTAGCTAGCTAAAGTTACGAAGGCTTCAAAAAGACACTAGATAAAGTCAAACTGTCAAGTCTAAAGTTAACTTACCGTATTGGTCTTCTTTATAATGTAAATTGAATTAAATAAGTGTATTTAATCCTCTTCTCCTCATATCACTCTTCTTTCTGACAACCAAAGCAATTTGGAGCCTCGCGCCCTCGGACCTTACCACTTTTCGCCTAGAGCAGGGGGGAGAAACTATTTCTGTGAGAAAGCGTCACACAGTTTGCCTATCTAGAGATTCAAGAACTGATGATTTTAATGTAAAGATCTGTATTTTAAAAGTACATTAGCTATGTATTATTGTTAATATGCACTAAATAAAAAGTTGTCCAAGCTGGAAAATATGAGGTTCCCCTACATCGAAGGCGTATCTGTCAGCTGTTGGTAATCCTGAATGATTACAACGTTTTTTAAGCTAATTAATCAAGATGAAAAAATATTTGTACATGATTAACACTGATAAATAAAGCATTTTATTTATTAACTTACCGGTATCCCTTTCTGCGTTTATTTTCGTTTTTTCTAGAGCGGTTGTTGAATCTCACACAGCGGAACGTTTCGCGTCTGCGGAAGGGAACAAGCGCGGAAAGGAAAGACTGCAGGAGTGCAACCCCGGACAGATTTACCGGTAACACCAGCTGGATACATGTGAGGTAAACATTTGTTGGTTTTTCTGTCGATATAATTTAAACCAGTGGTTTGATCTAGAATCTTCGGCTCAGTTATTGGTGAATTTATTTAGATAAGGTGGTTTATTTAGACTGTGTGCTGCTGTCTTAGTTCCTCCTAAGATTTAAGAGTTTTTTTTACACAGGGCTGTCTCTGTCTTACTAGCTACTGGCTCACACTCACCTGCAAATTGCACTATATTTGCTTAAACACATTGTTTAAAAAACTTCTATCGAAACTGTATATACTGACCTAAAGCGTATTCATGGTATACCACTGTTTATACTGTACATGTCACATCTTTAGTCTATGCACGTTTAATATCATACATTCATCAGTTTGTTTCTGTATGTAATGTCTACTTTTAACATGTTTATGCTTAAAACCTCTATGTGTGTATGTTATACTTTTACTTGCACTGCCTACTGTAACTGTTACTGTTTAATCAATCCATTGTTTTATTTAAAGGGCAGAGTCACCATGCAGCATGGTCCCAATACAGTTGACTTAAAAACCGAATGAATACATAGAATAAAGTCTACAAATAAAACATAATCAGCGTTAAAAGGATAAAAATACTAAGTTCTAGGGTAGGCTGCAATGAAGTGAATACAAAGGGTCACTCTATTTCAGGTTTTCAACTTAAAGGGGACCTATCATGCAAAATGCACTTTTGTACGTCTTTTATACATGAATATGTGTCCCCGGTGTTCCAGGGAACTCACCAAGTGTCAGAAAACACAACCCTCTCTATTTTCCTCCATACCCAAATCTCTAAAAAAGGGGCTGCAACGGATCTGATAAAAACTGATCCAGATTTGAACACTGTCCTGACGTCAGGACGGTGGCGCTACGGCTATTGGGCCAACTCTCCACCTATCAGGGGAATGTGGGGTTGGGCCACGGCCGGCCATTGCCGCTCGAAAGCGCTGGAGACGCTGTAGTACATATGCCAGGCCTGTAGGTGGCGCTGTAGTCTGCCACAAAAGCAGCGAAGAAGACTTCCCGCCCATAGTTACCATGGTTACCCTTCTGTTTATTCTCCGCTGTGGCTTTTTTTCTCCCTCCCCGAGGCAAGCGTTTGCTCCCGCTGCTTTAATTCAATGTAATCCCTCCCCGTCGAGGCAAGCACTGTAATTCTCTCCGGTTAGTCCACCAGCAGATGACAAACACCCACCTCTCCGCCTCTTCCAAGGAACGAGGGGACCGTGCGGCAGAGTTTCAGTTAGGTTTTCTTTCGCCGGTCAAGATGTCCGTTAAAGTTTAAATCTTCCGGACAAAATTAGAAAAGTGCCGGTCAAAGGTCTTCTTTGTTATTTATTGAGCTTTAAAACAAATGAATAACGGCTCTATATAATAAAACACGGAGGACGGAGATCTCTTTTTCTCCCCCTCTTCTGACAGCCCAGCAGCTGATCAGAGCACGGCTCACCTCTCCTGCAGGGGGGCGTGGTCAGCAGAATCAGACCCGTAGACAGCAAACAGCACATAGAGCGAAATGAGGCATGGCTAAAATGCATGATCTGTTTGGTATTTTGAAAACAGAAACGTATAAATATACCTTATATAGGTATGGCCCTACAATATATCATTTAAATATAGCATGATAGGTCCACTTTAACTTACTTCTTAAACATGTAGCTCCCCAAAAAAGGATTGAATGTTCAAAATATTGACCCAGAAATGTATAATGTACAGCTTTCACTATTGTAAAACCAAAAAGGTGCATATTTCCAGAGTTGAGCGCATAAAGTAAAGGGAAATTAAAAAGTTAGAAATGCCAATTAATCTATACTCAAAAGTGTCATTGAGTATATTTCTGGTTGATTCACCTGTTATTGACTTTTTTAAATATTTTTGGCATTTTATGTTACATTAAATTGCACCCATGCATGTTGTATTGATGAGTTACTGAACAGAGGACTGACTGCTGGTGTTTGTTGTGTGTGCAGTGACAGTGTTGTCGTGGATACAGAGAGATGCAGCGGCTTTACGTTGGTGGGTTGAGCCACACAATCACTCAGAAGGATCTCAAGGATCGGTTTGGAAAGTTTGGACAAGTGGAGGATGTGGAGCTCCGGACCAGGAAGGACGACGAAGGTGAGGAGTCAAATTCATGGTTGGACGCTCAGACATTATAATTACAGTTAGATATTTAAATTACATTTAATTCTGCTCACTATTATGCTGTATTTTATGTTGCACACAATCTAGTATCCACCCTTGTCAGTCATTTTTTTTTTTTGTTGATATTTACAAAAAGATCTGTTGGTTGCATTTAGGGAAGCTCTTATAGGTATTTTCGCATTTTGTAGTAAATTATATTGTAAAAATTACGCATATTATCGTTTGAAAGACACTTTTCTAGTACTGGTTATTGCTATCAATTATTTTAATTTGTATTATTTTTAACCTGAATGTGTTCTGACTCTTGTTGCAGGTGTTCCTTACAAAACCTTCAGCTATATTAACATCAACATTACAGACGCCGACCTAAAGAAATGTAAGTGAACTGAGCCATCTGCACATTTGGTGTCATTCATCCTTATTTGAATGAAAACAGGAAAAAATACTTTCAGTGTGGGTAGATAGAATACTCTTCATAGATAATGTTTCAGTATCTACAAACTAAAAAATAATCAGATAAATGGCTGCACAATACTGGTTCTGGAAAATTATTTTAAAATGTTGATTTATTGTAGTGTGTTTAACCCTGTGTTTACCATACCTGACGTCAGAGCTTGTGTTGTATCATCAGTATGAGATCAGTCTGTTTGCTCTGCAGGTATGACGGTGCTGAACAAATCCAAATGGAAAGGAGGAACTCTGCAGATAGAAACCGCTAAGGAGAGTTTCCTGCACAGGTACATTCACGTTCACCTCATCATAAAAGTCTTCTCAGTCTAACATTAACTCAATCACTATGGGGCAGGATGAAGTTGACATATTCAACCATCAAGTTGAACATTCATTTGTAATATTTGTATCTTTAGACTGGCTGAGGAGCGGCAGACGGCAGAGCAGCAGCGCCTCCTGCCGCCTGCACCGGAGGACCAGAAGCAGAAGATGCTGGACTCCCTGAGCAAAGCCGGCGTGGAAAACTTTACCATGAAGGCAGCGGTGCCGGGGACAGAAGTACCAGGACACGAGGTACACTCATTTACAGCTTTATTTTTGGTGGTTTGACTGCCAAAAAATAACTAATAACAGCTGGTCGTGTAAAAAAAGTTCTGTCTTGCCCACAACTCTACCCAATTTAATATGTTCCTTAACTGGTTTAGCTGTTTTAATTAAGTCATTGACATCTAAGGCAAGAAAATCCAGGCAAAAACATTGTTTTTCAGGCAGTAGTTCCATGATATGTGTCTTTTATACACTCTTGTCTTGTAAAAAACTCCAAAATACATATATATAATATGTAGGTGTTTAATTTCGTAAACTTTGTCTACTTGAACCTGTATAGTTTTCCAAAATTACTAAAAGTTAGAATAAGATAATGCCTCATTTGTATATTGTTACATACCATTTTTGAAAACTTGTAACATATAAGTAATTACCAAAAATCAACTGTTAAATTACAACTCTATTCACCTGTAGTGTCTCCCATGAAAGCCCAAAAGCAACAGGAAGGATGAGAAATTGGAAATATCTGCTGTTACTGTTTGGTTGTATTCATGGTAGCTTAAGATTCCTTAGTAATCAAATAAGAAGAGATGCTGTTAATGTCTGCTATTTAATTATTGCTGTGAAAATGGGTTGCATGGAGAAAGTGATATAAGAATAAAGGTGTTGACTGTCTTCATGTGCTCTCTGGTTTCAGGACTGGGTGGTGAGTAAATTTGGACGCGTGCTGCCTGTGCTGCAGCTCAAGTGTCAGAAAGGCAGCCGAGCTCGAACCCTGAAGTACGACCCGTCCAAATACAGCCACAACATCCGCAAGCTGGACCGCCCCTCCACAGACCAGTCCGCCTCAGACCTGCCCACCCCGGTGAGTCAGCTGACCTGGGAGCTGCAGGGGGGCGATGACGACATCAGCAAGAAGAGGCGCGGAGAGTTTCCCGCATACGAGCCGCCGAAACGCAAGAAGATCCCGAAAGACGCGGTCAACTCACTGAAAGCTGAGGGCAAACCCAGGTAACCATGGGAGGTTTTCCACTCATCCAAGAGGTCCACATGTTATTCTTAGAATTCCTGAACTTTTCAGTTTGTTTCTGTGATTCCCAGATGTTTTCAGTCTTATCTTAATTTCTCTGGAATTTCGCCCGCTTCCTGGAATCTCTTTTAAGGTCCTGCTGGATTCTCAAATTCCCCAAATCGTTCAATGGTTTCTGGGCTTCTCAGCTAATTCCTGACATTACATATTCTCCAAGTTATTTTCACGATTCTCAAAGTCGCAAACATGTTTATTGGACTCCCAAATGTTTCTTACGGTTTCTTCTCATTTCTGACACCTGCTGATATTGGGTAATGCCAAT